ATGATGATGATGATGATGATGATGATGATGATGATGATGATGATGATGATGATGATGATGATGATGATGATGCTGATGCTGATGATGATGATGATGATGATGATGATGCTGATGATGATGATGATGATGACGATGAATGTATTTCTGCTGATGATGGTGATGCTGATGCTACTGCTGATGACGATGCTGCTGTCGATGATGCTGCTGCTGATGATGCTGTTGATGATGCAGATGATGATGACGATGATGCTGCTGCTGATGATGATGCTGATGATGGTGGTGATGCTTATGAGGGCATTGATGGTGCTGACGATGCTGATGACGACAATGATGATGATCATGATGATGCTGCTGCTGATGTTGATGATAACGGGGATGATGATGAGGAGGCTGATGATGCTACTGATGATGACGATGATGATGATGGTGACGAAGGTGATGATGATGCGGATGATGATGATCATGCTGCTGATGATGATGGTGGCTGCTGCTGATCGTGATGATGATGCTGACGATGATGATCATGATGAGGATGATGCTGATGACGATGATGCTGATGCTGATGATGATGATGATGATGGTGGTGATGCTGATGATACTACTGATGATGACGATGACGATGACGATGGTGCTGCTGCTGATGATGATGATGATGATGATGATGATGATGATGATGATGGTGATTCTGCTGCTGCGGCTGACGATTTTGCTGCCGACGATGATGACGATGATCAATAGGTGGAGGACGAGGAGGAAGAGGAGGAACCTGTTGATGAGGACGGATGGGGAGGAGGAGAAGAACGAGGAGCCAGAGGATGATCAGGATGAGTAGAACGATACTTGTGAGGAGGAGTTGGATGAGGAATGGGATAATGAGGAGAAGACAGAAGACGCGCACGACGAGGGAGGAAGTGGAGGGCGGAGAGGAGGATGAGGAGGAGGAGAGCGACGAGGAGGATGATGGGGATGAAGATGGTGACGACGGTAAGGAAGGAGGTATGGGAGGATGGATCGGGAGTGGGCAGGGTGAGGAATAGGACGACGAGGGGGACGGTGAGGAGGACGACGGAGATGACGATGATGACGATGATGACGATGATGAGGATGCTGATGATGCTGAGGGTGATGACGATACTGATGACGATAATGACGATGATGCTGATGATGCTGATGATAATGATAGTGATGATCATGATGCTGATGAAGATGCGGGTTTAGGATGATGGTGCCGATACTGATGATGATGACGACGATGATGATGCTGATGTGGGTTTATGGTGATGATGCTGTTGCGGGCTTAGGATGATGGCGATTATGATGCTTAGGGCGATCATGCGTGTCCAGGTTGTTGTTTGATGAATATGATGGGGATGGTCATGATGATGCTTCTGCTGATGTTCATCATGAGCTGATGATGATGAGGACGATGAGTTTGCTGATGTTGTTTCTGTTGCTGTTGTTGTGGTTGTTCTTGTTGTTGTTGTTGTTGGTGTTTCTGTCTTTGTTGCTGTTGTTGTTACCCATGCTGATGCTGTTGATGATGATGTTGATGCTGAT